TAAGAAGTTTTCTTTGAGTGCAGGGTCAACAAGGAGTAAGGAATTGCTGGGACCACACTGGGGAGAATGACTTGCCTAAGATTATCTCTCCTCCTTTAACTTAAAATTTTTTTTAGTACAGCTAAAGCTAACTCTTGAATCCTCTGCAGGTGCCTCGGAATCAGACAGCTGACACGGAAATTTGTGCATAGCAAATTGCTTGCTCACCTAATCAGAGCATCTTGTACAAAATGAACGTCGGCTCCGCCAATTGAAGTCCTTATAAAACAAACCACCTACTCAATCAATCGGAGCACCCTGTACAAATCGCATGACGGCTTCACCAATCAAAGTCCCGTATAGAGCAAACTGTCAGCTCGATCAATCGGAGCGCCTTGTACAAATCGAACATTGGCTTCGCCAACTAGAGCCTTGTATATAGCAAACTGAAAGCTTCGCCAACTAGAGCCTTGTATATAGCAAACTGCAAGCTTCGCCAACAAAAGCAATCCATAATACCGCTCCATCAATCACGGATGCCGGGACAGACAATCACAAATTACGTGACCAACGTCCTGCTAATCGATGGCCACAACCTAAATTCGCAGTCAAGAGTATCTCTTGGGTATGCTTTTGTTTCCTTTACTATTACTTTGAATGTTTTGGCATTTCGCTCATGAAGCTTTAGGCATGATTATGATTTTAATCAATCACTCCAAAACGAAGGATACTTTATATTTCAGTGCAAAGCTCTCCCAACAAGCTGAGATGCACTTAACAATCCCAACAAGCAGAGAGATTTCTAAGTGCAAAGCTCTCCCAACATGCGGAGACGCACTTTACCAATCAAGTCTCCCAACAAGTGGAGATAATTTTCAAATGCTCTGACAGTTGTGGAATGGTACACAGCCCGGCTAACAAATTAAGTCAGGATCAAGTATCCCATCATCCAAATCAAAAATAATGGCTAGACGGCAGCCAGGCATCATCATTCCTGCATCATTTATATCTCATCTTAATATATTCTGCATTACAATATATTGGTATGCGTGCATTTCATTTGTTTTGCAGGAACAAACACCGCAGCTTGGAATATTTTCTTAGCAGCAGACCGAACTACAATGCTATGGGGACAACCAACGCAGTAGCGGGCCTAAGATCCAATCTCGGGATGATCAGCGAGCTCAAAATTTCGAATCATTCAAACCAAACCGCAAAATTCAAGCTACCATGAGTGACCAATCTTCAGCCTCACCGTATCGTTGCAATATGATACTGGGCAATTCCTGCGAGTGCCGCTTCCCCAAAATCCCTACTTCAGAACTACATGAGTCCTGATCCTCATTAAGCCCGAGGTATGTAAGCAATTCAAATCCAGAATTCAGCTCGATGCCCCCAAATCTTTCTATATTCTTCCTCAATTCAATTCCACAAATTCATCATCTTCATTTCCTACAATATCTACCTAAAAGTCGGGGCAAAATAGGCTTTGGTTCAATTTCTTTGCCCGAAAACTCTTTTATCGTCTCCGGTGAAAGAGGGGCAACTGTAAACGGTCAATTTCGACCCTCCCTTTTAAAATTAAGTTATTTATACTTAATAATTTACAATAAATATTTTTAAAGTATATTCCAAGTAATGAATACCTATTTCTATAAGTTAATTCAGTATTAGTTTCGAAATTAATCATTTGGTATTAGTATTATGTAATCACAAATTATATTTGCTATTTTAGGATTATTAAAAGGGATTAAAGACCAAAAGGCCACAATTGTAATTATTGAATCAATTATAAAATGGCTGCCTTTTAAATTACTTTTAGCCCAAATACAAGGCCCAATCCGAAATTCCAGTCCAAACACACTTCTCCTTCTGTATTTTGGCAATCCATGCCACTCTCCCTAAACCAATCACAACCTGCCACATCACCTGTCTTAGTCACTCACAGAAGAAATATAAAATCATCTGGGCCGTCCATTCCATAAATCAACGACCCATAATTTTAACCCCATTCTTTTATTTTTAATACACCTACAGATCTAATCCTCACCATCCAAAATTTAACAATCCAACGGCCACGAACTTTTCTCCGAAAATCCCTTTAAACACCAAAATATTAGGACTGTTGATCTATTAGATCAACGGTCCAAATCATTCCTTACTTCGTTAACACAGATACCAAATAGTCTAACCCGAGCAACCCTAATTCATTTGCATCATCACAGCCACCTCCCCTTTCCCTTTTCTCTCTTATGTCTCTCATCTCTCCAACCTCCATCAGTCACAAGACCTTGCACAAATCCGTGCAAGGTAAAACATATCAAACCACAAACACTCGATTTGCCTCTCTATATCCACGAATCCTACTGTTATCTTTCTATTTTCATCACCAAATTCAAACGCCCTAATTCTGAAACCCTAGACTCAAAGGTGGAAGCTCAAATCGCCTGAGCTCTGTTATGGTATTTCAAATCAAAGCCTGAAATCACCTCTGGTTTCCTGAACTACGTGAATCCTACTGCAAATTCATTTTTCAATTACAAAATTCAAAACCCTTCAAGTATGAAAACCCTAGCTTGAAAGTGTAACTTCAAATCGCCTGAATTTTCTCGTGCTCCGTCAAATCGGTGCATGCATGAAGCCTTCTTCAGAAAATCATCATGGAATCCTATACCTGGAGGTCAAATGCAGTGAACTCTGGGATTTAGGATTTGTCTATTATTTCGAAGAACTTCAACATCCAATTACCATTCACTCAGGTAAACCCAATATTGAATTTTTCCTCCGTCTTCTAATTTTTATTCGATTTACTATCGTCATTACCATGAGTCACCTCCATTATCTGATTCAAATTCTCTGAATCCTAGAGCCTTAATGGCACTATAAATAGAAGACTTTAATGCTCTCATCTA